CAATGGGTGGTGAAGACATGTTCAACTCTCTGCAGCCCTGAAGTCCTGCCCCAGCTGCTGCACATAGCCATAGAGCACTGTTTACTTGTTTATTAAGTTCGTTAATATTGAATGTGTTGTGCATTCAAATTGCATCAAATTCGTCAGTGCACGTCTTTGGGTCCCAGGCAATACAGCCGCCAAGTTTGAAGTAGGTGTGACGAAGGGTTCTCGAGATATGTGAATGACAAACAGATAGATAGGCAGACAGAAATTCTTTATAGCTGGATAGATGCTGATGGAATGGATTAACCATGACTTGATCCAGTTGAAATATACTGAATAAATTACCTGGATGCTACCAGTACCATTTCCAATAGCCCTGGACTGAACAAACTGGAATATTCAAAGGCTCCTTCTTCTTAACAAGCTCACATAGTTTATGTAATGGAATATGAAATAACAGTTTGCAAATGACAGAGTTTAAGCTGAAACAACTACTCAGTTAATTGATTTATGCTACCTTGGGCTGTAGGAAATTCATTCATTCATTCATTCATTCATTCATCTTCTAACTGCTTCATCCTCTTGAGGGTCGCGGGGGGGCTGGAGCCTATCCCAGCTGACATCGGGCGAGAGGCAGGGTACACCCTGGACAGGTCGCCAGACTATTGCAGGGCTGACACATAGAGACAGACAACCATTCACGCTCACATTCACACCTACGGACAATTTAGAGTTATCAATTAACCTAGTCCCCAGTCAACATGTCTTTGGACTGTGGGAGGAAGCCGGAGTGCCCGGAGAGAACCCACGCTGACACGGGGAGAACATGCAAACTCCGCACAGAAGGGCTCCCACGGGATCGAACCGGCAACCCTCTTGCTGTGAGGCCACAGTGCTAACCACCACACCACCGTGCCGCCCCTGTAGGAAATTGTAATGGAAATTTTCTGATATTTTATAGACAACAGTTAAACAATTAATGGTGAAAATAATTTGTGGCTGAACTCATTATGCCTGAGTGAGTTGTAGCCCTATCTTGATCTCAAATTGACACATGATTTCAGAGCCAACTTGCTACCCTTTCCCAGCTGTGATACAGGTGGGCTTGTTGACTCTACAATCGAAAGGACTTTTCCTTCATTTACCCGCTTCTCGACGTAGTCCCTTTAAAGAATGATATGAGATGTTGCCTTGAACTTCTTGTTGGCCTTTCTTCATCAACCTTGGCAGGTACCTTCACTCACAGTTATATACTCTGAGTAAAAATTAAACTTGTGATTGAGTTTACACCTTTGACTTTGAGTGTAATGTATACCATTAATTGCAAAATTTATCACAACAGAGATACCAGTGTCTCTTAGAGGAAGAAGTCAGTATAGAGCCTCCTTGTAGGTGGTGCTGTACACTTTTGCATTGAGAAATGTGACATCTCAGAGGCTGCAAAGCAGGCAGTATTGTTTCCCTTGAGCTGGCTTCGTGCAGGACGCTCAGTATGAAGCACATTCTCTGGCAGGTAGCCAAAGACTGCAGTGCTCAGATCCAAATCTCTGTCTCTGCAGCAATTTATCTGAAGGTTATTCAATTAAGAGGGTTAAGATAGCAATATGCTATATTGCAGCTATTTAGGGTTACATTGAAAAATTGCAGAATTAGCTGGTTAACTTAAAGTCTTTGGGAAATGTCACGATGATGCAGCTGTACCTCCAAAAACACCTCTGCACACTCCGAAAGCAAATATATTGGCATATTTAGACAAAAAGTCTTAACTGTACTTCTACTTACTACCCTTTTCTATAGCTCTACTGAGTTGACAACTGCAACTGAAGTCCAACTGAGCAAACTTTAATTTCAGATATCAAGAATGAACTGACACACTCCACTATATATCTTCATCACTCACTATGTCCTAAAGATTTGTTTTAGTGGCAGAGCTTATCTTCGGGCAGTCTGGTTCACAACCAAGATGGAATTGTTTTCAAGAGAAAATTTTAAGTGGGCTTTTTTTCTTGGCAAGAACAAGGACTTCTTGTCAAAACATGAATTAAAATGTAAATGACAAAGAATTTTTTTGCTAACTAGCTGCTTGCTAGCTTAGTAGCGAGTATTCTAACAAGGGATAATTTAATTTTGTGGCAATGGATTTTTAGCTGTTTTTTTTTTTTTTTACCATGTTTAAAAAAACACATACATGAGCTAATTTGGGTGGAAAATGGGTATTCATTACAACTCTGGCCCCAAGTAATGCTGTGAGAAATCCAACTTCACTATTTGTAGTTTTCACTTTCCCACAGTATAATTCTCTCCTCTCCTAATGACCTCCTGCCTATTTGTGGAGAAGCCTTGTTTTCTGTCTTCTCAACACAATAGAGTGAATGAGAATCAAGTTGGTGAGAAGCCAGGCCACGTGTTTCTGTTGGTATGAGAGAAGGTTTCCCAGTTAACCTTGAGCCCCTTTTGGGCTCCAGGCTTTGTGTGTTGATGTGTGACTTCTGTGTGTCAGATAAGATAGATATCAAAGATAAAGGTAGAAAGACAGGCTGTCCTCTCTGCTTCAACAACTTCAACAGTGACTGGTGGTTTTAGAGGACAAATTCTTCCTGGAAGTTTTAATCTACGTCTTGTTTTCTCCTCACCGCTCTGACAGGCAAACCTAACTAACCCTAACCACAGCATTTCTCCTTATTCAGACTCCCCCATCCTTGTTCTCCACTGCCTGATTCCCTTTCAATTCATAACGCTGTGCAATCCCATTATGGTGCATCCCCAGTGTTTAATGTTATAGTCTAAATGTCTGGATACACACTTATTATGTATATAAGCTATTAACATAAAGGCCTAGTCATCATTACCTATGCACATGATTTTTTTTTAAATTCAATGGTATGTGAGCACAAAAAGAGTTAAGGCGGATTTATGCTTGTGCGTCAGCTCTATGCAGAGCTTACGCTGTAGCCTACACACAAATGGGCGTCAAATGTCGTCTTTATGGATATGCCAGGGGTGTCAAAACTTGTCATTAAGGATTTAAAGGGGGGGCCTCATATGTCGTCATTATGGGAAAAAGAGTTAAACATGGCTTAATAGCCTGAATTTCAAACACAAATACGCAAATCGGCTTCATTATAACTTGCATCGCTGACAATTCACAGACAAATCACTTGTCTTTTTTTTGACACAATTTCCCCACGAATACAAAGTGTTAATGTTTTTAGCACAAGCCTATGGCATTTTGCATTGTATAAATTAGTCTAGCGGCTAGCAGAGATTTCCTCTACTCATATGGAACCAGGGACAACAGCAACATTTAACAAAGGTAACATCACAAAATTCATCTCCATTACAGCTCACAAGGTTCACCAACAAAACAACTGCCTTAACAAGTTTTCCAAACTAATATAACATGTTACTGTTAGAGCCTATGCCGATGTATGGCGTTAATGCGATGCAGAAGTATAAATCCTCTTAAAGGAGAACTTTGGCATTTTTCAACATAGACACTATTTTCACATGTTTTTGTGTCTGAATAACTAATTAGACAACAATAAAAAAACAACAACAACTAAAGATTGCAGCTGGCAGCGACAAAACAGGCTGCAGTGTAACCACATGGGACATTTGTGTAAGGTCTAGGTTGGAAAATGCTCAAATGACCCTTAGAATAGAATAGAATAGAATAGAATAGAATAGATACTTTATTGTCTAAACCAAATGGTACCAGAAAATCCTCTTTGACAGGGGTCAACATAACATTTACACGTGCAAGACATTACAGACATTTTATAAAAGGACCAAAGAATCTAAAAAATACACAGGATGGAAAATAAACAACACACATCGATACATAAAAGAAAAGGACCAGCAGCATTAGCAAACCATTACCGGGGCACTGAAATTCCTCTACTGTTGAGGGCTGTTATTGCATTTGGAATAAATGATTTTTTTATAGATTGTTTTTCTTTTACTAATCTTAAAATTTCTCAGCTTCCTGAGAAGATGGAGGCGCTGGAGTGCTTTGTTGTGGATTGTGTCCAGGTTTGGAAGGACAGGCAGGTGTCCATCTGTGTCCCCAGATACTTAAAACACTCCATCTGTTCCACCCGCTCTCCCTGAATAAACAAAGGTTTAAAAAGCTGAGATGTAGTTGCTGCTCTGTCTCTTCCCACACAGCACAACTCCTTAGTCTTTGAAATGTTTAGTTCAAGTGATTTCTCACTTAAAGTTGTGACTAGGTCGTCGACTGCCAGTTGGTACTGGGTGAGAGCCTCCATACGGTCCATGTGGGCCACCAGTGCCATGTCATCAGTGTATTTAAAAAGACTCATTCCCTCCCTGCTACAGGTGATGTTATTGGTGTAGGCAGAGAATGGATTGGCGGTTAAAACACAGCCTTGTGGGAGCCCTGTGTTTAAAACCAGTTTACTGGACTTAAAACCATTTAAAAACACCTGCTGTGGTCTGTCCATTAGAAAGTCCTTTATCCATAAAATCAAAGTTGGGTAGATCTGGAGGTTCAAGAGGCAGTGCAGCAGAGTGTCAGTGTTTACAGTGTCAAAAGCAGAGAAGTCCATAAATAAGATCCGAGTGTGTGGTTGTGCAGAGTATATACTATAATCCTCAAGATTTTCATCATATTGTTTTCCAGTTCACAGCAGTGCTGTCACCATGGTTTGGAGTAAAACAGGCCTGTCCATCTTCCTCCTCTTGGCAGATGCTCTATCTGTAACAGTGCTTTGACATTTACCAGAGACCTACACTCAAAAGCCAAAGAGTCATTACTTTAACATGAACCAAGCATTGTTACAGATTGACTCTTGAAGGGGCTGACAAGGGAATTGTTTCATTTATGACTCAATCCATACCTCACTCTGACTTTTATATTTTGAGACATTGTGGCCATTAAAAGCTCTTTGTCTCATATCTCATTCTGTTCGCATTGCTTTTTCAGCACTCAGAGGTGGTTTCTCCCATACTTTAACTGTTAAACTGCTATCTTTCTTCCTGTTGTGTGTTTCCAGGGAGCAGAGGCCATGGTGTTGGAGAGTGTGATGTTTGCTATCTTAGCAGAGAGGGAGCTGGGACCTAAACTCTATGGCATTTTCCCTCAGGGCCGACTAGAGCAGTACGTCCCTGTAAGTGACCAGTCTGTGGTTCAATGCACATCTGTTTGCATATGTTTTCTTTATACTGTATAATAATTTTGAAAAGGGGTGGACAAATACTTAGGAACACACAATGCTCTTCATTGCTGGAAAACATTTAGTTATAGTAAAACTTAAGATTTTTGTTGAGGTGAGAGATGGGGATTTTTGAGTTTTTGATATAATGGTACTGTGGGGTATACATTTTGAGGGCTGGGTATCAAATGTCAAAACTTTATTGATACTGAGCGTAATGCGTGCGTAGCATCAAGTATCAAAGTACAACTGGCTTCAAATGTCTGATCACATTCATAACCTTACTTAAACCAGCGGATCACCAGAAGATCCACAATACGGTATTATCAAGATAATAGTTATGATACAGTGTTATTGTGATTTTGAATATGTTGCTATATGCTGAGTAACATAAAATATATTGTGAAATATTGCAATGTATTACCTTTTCTCAACTGTTAAAATATGTCCCTGACTGTTGTAAGATGAAGTTTTTAGTCTGTTCATCTCACTACAATCATTTTTTTTGCAGCACAATGTATCCAGTGGACTGATTATATATATGATTATATTATTCTGGCTACCTAAGTTTAATTTGTATTTGTCATAATAATAATTTAAATAACAAAAGAATGGCACTTTGTACTGTGCGATGATACGATACTGCCGCACAAAATTATTGCAATACTAACCTGCAAAAGGTAGTATTGCCTTTAATTAATAAACCATAAAAGATCTGCTCCTCAGTAGTTAAACAGCACTGTGTTACACAGGTCATTTTACTCATGGAAGGAAATCATTTTGACCTTTGCTGACATCATGTAGCCACCACCAGCCAAAAGTTACTCAAACAGATACATGTTATCTTGTTTGAGCTTATTACTCACTGACTTTGAACTTACATGCCGAGATATCATGTAGGATTTCACAACATCAGTAAACTGCACAGAACCCACTCATATTTACCAATTGGGCTGATCTGGGGTGCTTTAACTCAGATCTAGTATTGGATATCATCTTAGTAAAAAACAATGTGAGAGATGAGATGCATTTTTCTTTTTTAACTCATTTTGTGATTTGGCCTAATAGTTGTACATAAAAATCTTTGCTATTTAGAGAGGGGGGGGGCGATGAAAAACAGGGGAGACACATCAAATAACTTTTTCAGCACTGGGGAGGGAGTTGTGTTTTTTAATATGGCTCAGAGGAGGGACATTGAACTTTAAATGGGACATTGAACTTTAAATGGTTGTATTTTGTATTTACTTTAAATACCCTCAGAGCACCAAACTCTGGTTTTAAAGGCATGTTTTCTTTTCTAAAAATGTCCAGAATCACACCATAAATCATGGCCAGAAACTATGAAATATGGTTACATTTGGTGGAGGGAGGGTCTTGCATTTTCCAACCAGTCACTCAGGGAGACTCAAGGAAAAATATTTGAAGCTCCAGGAAGGGCCATGATAGAAAAAAATATCCACACCATAGCCACTCCCCTACTCTTGATTATTAAAATACAGTCCCTTAGTGCAACTTCAAAACAGTCATTTTGGTTACTGCATGAATATTATCCTGTTGACAGAGTCGTAAACTGGACACCTGTGAGTTGAGCGACCCCAGCATCTCAGCAGAGGTTGCAGAGAAGATGGCCAAGTTTCATGGAATGAGGATGCCCTTTAACAAGGAACCAAAGTGGCTGTTTGGAACCATGGACAAGTAAGTCATTTAAAGCCCCTTTTTGACCACAGGAACTTTTCCCATAAACGTGGAACCTTTTGAGGAACTTGTTGTGTTTTGACCACAAGGACCTGGGTTTAAATTAAATTCTGGGATACTTTTGCCCCCAAAAAACTCTTGATTTGTGGGTAGTACTTTATGAAAGTACAGAAACTTTGGAGTTTGGAGCTGTGGAGGAATAAGGATGGATCTGCCTTAGAAGCTGAGAACACTATTGGCAGACAGACTATCACTCAAAGCGGCCCTTGTACAGTTGTCATGAATGTTGAAATTAGCTATAGAGACCAAAACTGTTTTTTGTACCATGTAAACATGTTCATTTCTGCTGTAAATTTGGGCATTTTAACATGGAGGTCTATGGGGATTGACTGGCTTCTGGAGCCAGTCTCAGTTGGACATTAGAGGAACTCCTGGCACTCCTGGCACTCCTGTATTGGCTTCACTTTTAAGCTCCAGAGGTTGCCGCTTGCATCCATCTTCATGAGTCTTTAGACTGCTGTGGAACATGGGAAGTTTTGGTGGAAACACAGCTTAAGTCTTTTCTAAGCGATATCCCATCCTGCCCCATCTTGTGTTGTCTCGTCTTTAGGGATATTAGGGATAGTTAGTAGAGATTCTCAGTCATCCAGGTCATGGTAGTTCTAAGTGCTACATCATATGCAACTGGACTTGCTTGAGTATCTTGAAGATGTTTCACCTCTCATCCAAGAGGCTTCTGCATTAAATTATGTTTCAAATGAAAGACTAAGATAAAAGACTGAGCAGATTTGAAACAAAGTCCCAAGTCGGTAACTGGAGGTTTAATCCTAAAATGGCAAGTAAGGTCACTAATTACTTATCGACAAGTATGAGGTGTTGGTTGGCTTATCATAATGTGCTTCATGTTGAATTACTTTCACGTTTATTTGTTGGGTGTTTACAAGGTTTACATTGCACAATATTTGTCAGTGTGTGGTGATAAAGTCCATTGCCCAGTTCTCCTGATTTTCTGTGGCGGCACTAAAAACTGGTTTATCATTTCCCAGATTGTGTATTGTAAACATTACTCATTCCTCCTGCTGCGTGACTGATTTGGTAAATTTCCATGTCAGAAAAGAATGAGGATGCAGAGATCAGACACAGAGCATGTAGTAATAGGTAATAAGGGATTTTACTGGAATTTGTTGGGGAAACTACATGAAATAGTGTGCTAAACGAGCACAATGTGTTTATAAATGAATAAACCATTATCAGAGGTGATATGTGATGATTTTTTTTTCATGCATTTACCCATGTTTATCCCTGACATTGTGTAAATGTCCGTGGCGGACATTTGAAAGCGAGTAGATGACAAACAGTACAGTAAACTTGTAGATAACTCATATATGTAATAACTTAGGTGGAAAATGATTTAACATTTCATGCAGCCTACATGCAGCCTCTCGGCTCGGCAAACGGTAAACAACCCCACTGGCTTCTCTATGTGTCGCTTCCGTACGCAGTCAGTGGAGCCCAAACGAATACGCCGCAATGCTACGCTGATGCTTACGTTTGCAGCCGGTGGAGCCTGGCTGTAAAAGTTAAAGTTGCTACATCCACGACGCAACACGACCAATCTATATCAGCACTTGAGACGGGACAGCACGTCTTTCTGAAAGACGTGCTGTGTAAAAGTTTAAAAGTTAAAGTCGCCACGTTCCGCGGCAACACGACCAATCTATATCAACACTTGAGACAGTACAGCACAGGGAAAAGTAGGAAGAGTGCATGCGAGAGAAAGCCGAGCTGTGTAACGTGAAAGACAAAGAGACAACTGAAAGCCGCCAGAGCCTCAAAAAACAACATCCAAGCACAGTTAAGCGAGTGTCACAGGGAAATCATGGACTCCATAACAAATGAAAAATTGGGCAATTTTGCTCGGGTTCGGCCCACATGACATGCTGCTGTGTTGTGCTATGGTGTGCTGGAATTTGTCATTTACGTGACAACACATGAACGCAACACAGGCTCGCTCCGCTGTGTGTACAGTTCCGTGCTGCGCTGCTGTGTGAGCAGCGTGTTTGACTGTGCTCAGTCTGTTGATGGTCATTGACACACTGTCTGTCCATAACAATAACTATGTCAGGTCAGTGCCCCCCTAATATAATGTAGGGGAAACACTGAATCAAGCAAAAAGACTCATGATACCATTTATTTATTATAGTTTATTGTAATTATATTGTAATCGCAATCGCAAATCGCGATATTGTCCACCATAATCGCAATCGCACATTTTTATCAAATCGTGCAGCACTAGCTGCTTCATTCACTGTTTTTACCTACTTTAATCACCCAGTCTGTTTGTTTTGGAGCGGAATAGATGTCTGTGGATAATTTGAAACCTCCTGAACAATGGAATTCTAACTGGGACAAGTTTTGGCTGGATGCAGTCTGAAGTCCTCGCCCATAGATTCCACTAAATCTTGCTAAATCTCACACCGTACCTTTAAGCAAATATGCCAGAGTCCTTTATCTCTACCTGATGATTTGGCCTTGATGTTTAGGAGACCAACAAACAGAAATTGGACCCTGGCTGAGCACCAGCACCGAGCAATATTTGAAAAAACACCCACACATTTCAGAAAGTTACATAATGTCATAGTACATAGTTACAAACACTTACAGAGTGTAAGAGTGGTTTCTTCACTCTCTTTAGTGAGATGCAACAATCCACTCTAAACTCTTGTTCGCTTTGAAACAAATCAGTCCACTTTCTAAGCCAGCATTTGTAACTGTTGTTGAACAGCAACCACGGTGGCCACGAGTGACAGTTACAGAAGGGTGGTCACCTTCATTGTGGAAAAATAAGGAACACCTTGCAAGTGGGCTAATGCCATGGGGACATAAATCCTGGGGTGGTCCTCTGTTGCTGTCAACATGAATGTAACGAAAATGAAAAATTAATAAGAGTAAAGCATTTTCATATTTTGCAATATCACACTAGAGGAAGTGCTGTTGTACTGAATATCAGCTGTCATTTGGTCATAGATAATCATGTCTGCATCCTCAGCCCCTGCATTGCTTGGACACAGTAGTTCTCAGCTGAATGTTCCTTCAGGCTGGACAGTTCACAATGTCCAACAGAAATTACTCTTGTACATGTCATTGCGATTGTGCTCATTACCACTGACAGGACTGACCCACTCATGGTTTGTCTGCCATTCAGACAGCATCTCTCTTTTTATGGGTGGACCTTTAAAGAAATGCATCCCAGTTTCGATGACACTGAGTGACAGACAACTTGCCTGTTGTTGTAGGTGTCATTCTCTTCTGCAAATTCTGATTTCATTTGATACTCCTTCACTGTGTCTTGTGGAACTCTTTTGGTTTTATTATTTCTCATGTCATTTAAGCATGTAAAAACAGTGTATGCATCAGAGTGGGATGTCTGATCTGTGTGTAACACTCTCACCAGGTACTTGAGCCAAGTCATGAGGCTGAACTTCACCAGAGAGTCCCATCTGCGTCGCTTCAACCGCCTGCTCAGTTACAACCTGCCGCAGGAGATGGATAAGCTCAAGTATGTTCACACACACACACACACACACACACACACACACAAACACACACACACACATACAGAGTGGTTAACATTTGACATATGCATTTGAAAGTTTCCAGGTAGGGTGTTATGTAACAGAATGTAAAGAATGTGTTGGTCCTTTGACAGTGCTTTCCAGGAAAGGCTCAGATTACGTAACTTGAAAGCAGCACGTTTTGAACACCACACAAAACATCAACATTTCACTAATTGAACAGAGTTTTGACCTGCTAAGAGATAATGAAGAGGAAGTCAGTCTATGAGACAGTGACACTCTCGCATGTCACAGTGAAACATGTTTTTCATTGCCATAATCACAACCTGAATTTTGTTAGGCAGAAAAAAAAGCATCTGAGTGAGCAGATTTTGAAATACTAAGCACCAGCCATGGTAACACATCATATTCTGTCAACAGGGGTGTAACAGTTCACAAAGTTCAACAGGATACAACAAAAAAGATGAAATACCAGAGAAATTTCCTTGATTATTTATTTATTTTAATTTTATGTTATTTTAATTCATTTGATTATTTAAACTAACATCATAAAGTATGATCTTTTTTTTTTACTTTGAACAATAATGGGGCTAGCAACATGCTAGCTTAGCATAGCTGCCTCCCAGTGTCTCACTGTAGTGGTATGTTCTGATTTGGGGGTTGGAGGGGCAGACACTATGTTACTTGTTATGTCCTGTGGGCTGCCTTGTTGAAAACATTATATCAAACACAGTTTGAGCTTTATATTTTGTTTTACCAATGTAATAGGATAGTTCAACATATAATTAGGTCTGTGGTTCAATATGAATATGTGTATTGTTACTAAGGCTGTCAAAATTGCTCAAAAATGACGTTCCAATATTCGTTCTAAAAATAACTCATAGGTTCGAACCATTCGAATTTTTTTTTTCGCATTATGTCCACAAGAGGGCAAACTAATACAAGGAAACATACTTGTATATGTATTAATACAAGGAAACATAACTAGCCTACTTGTAGGTATTTTTAGTTCAACATAAACGTCTTTGAAAACATTTACATACCTACACATTAAAACACACAAAACAATTATCTATAACATTACGTTATAAACGACCGCGGACCTCTCGCTCGCCCCCCCTCTCTGACCCGTCAGGCCACACCGCTCGCGGAAGCGCTGCGAATAGCCTCGAAGTGCTGAGAAGCGAAGCCAGTTTCCTTTCGGCGCCCATATTAACCGATTGTGTCATCCACACCGGCTGCGCCACGCCGCGCAGCTCCGTGGCTGGCTCTGGTCTATTTTCTGCGCGAGCGAATGTGTCAAGCCGGGTGATGGAGACAACAGCTGGGAGCACAACCGCTTGTCGACCAGCATGGAGAAATGCGCGTCTGATGTGAACGGAAATGCTCTGGCTTGTGCGCTGCGTTTCGCAGCACCTCCGCGGGCAGTGTGGCCTTATGCAGTGCGTTCAGTGCAGCGGCCCAGGCCAACACCCATTCGCAAAGAGGACAGCTGCGGTGGTGTTTTTTTTTCTCCACAATTGAATATCAATTTTCACATTCGAAGGTCCATTTTTTTGAATTTAGAATATTCGTTGACAGCCCTAATTGTTACACTCCTAACTCAATATATGCTATATGACATAGTCACAAAATCACACAGCACTCTGTGAAGGTTTGGCTTCAAGTCTTTAGCACTGTGAGTGTTAACCAATCTGGGAGGTAAAGGGATCAAACCACTTCTTGTTGGAACTTCTTTGAGGAACTTTTGCTGGCATTGCATGATTTTTTTTAACTTCTGCCTCGCCGTTCTGTATAAAAGGTACGATTGTGGAATGGGGGGACAGAGTTTTCTCGCCTTTAAGCTGGCAGTGGAGGAAGTGACAGCGCATAAATGACTTCTGTATAAAGGGAACAGCTGGCAGGATGGGATCATGGTTGGCATGGGTGTGAATTTTTGCGAATGTGTTATGAGTGCAACCCACTGTAGGAGATTTAAAAATAGCTGTTAGGAGTTAGCAGCTAACTGAAAGAAGAAGAACTGTGACATAAAATGTCTGCAAACTGGTTCCAGGAGCTCCTTACCCTCCAGCGAAGGACAAGATCAGCTGCTATATAACAGGGATAGTAAATTATTGTTATTGTCATGTTATTTTTATTGTTTATGAAGGGCTGCTGATGTGTGTGTTATATGTCACACTTGAAGCCAACACTGCTGTGTTTCATGACACACCCGTCATCCCTGTAATGATTCTGCAATGCTGACATACTGTCTAAAATCACACAATGGAGCGACAAGATGCTGCCATTGTTTGATTCTGTGTAAAAATTCAAATGTGGGATACAGAAGGGACTTCATAGCAGCTCTATAGCACCATCTCTGTGCAAAAAGGGAGTGGGATGAAACAAGGAGCTCTAGAAACCCAGCTGATTGATCATCTTCTGACTTCTGACCTTTGTATGTTCAGGTCTCTACTGGAGTCTACACACTCTCCTGTAGTGTTCTGCCACAACGACTGCCAAGAAGGTAATGCATATCAACACTGATGGCCCCTATATGCTGTACATTTGCTTTTCTCTTTCATAAAAGAATAACTATTTTTCACATTGCTTTTAGGAAATGTCCTGCTGCTGAAGGGCCGCCAGAGCTCAGACAAACAGAAGCTGATGCTCATTGACTTTGAGTACAGCAGCTATAATTACAGGTAAGTTAGTTACTACTCTATCACAGGTTTTGATGAAGTGATCCTACTCACATGTATTGTCTATTTATCCAACAACTATTAAAAACACAACCCTGTTGCACTGGGGGATGTGTTCCTTTATTACAGTGAACATGGGCACTGTAGTTCATTTTTGTTCAATTCCAAACACAGTGTTATGCAGCCAGACTGTCTCATTAGTGCTCATAATTATCAAATGTGTATTAATCCGCAGGTGAAAATAGTCCCTTACAAAATGACTTAGCATTTAGTAAAGAAATGAAATTATAAATATATGACCTGTTTTTAAAGATGTTTGTCTTCTGTAGGAACAAAGGGCAGTCACAAAGTAATGACAGACTTGTTGACATGTTTTTGGTTTTGGTCCTTTCATAGGATTTGTTAAAATTAACAGAAATATAGAATATTGCCTGCTTTATTCTTTAAGGACTAACTTTAAAAAACATCAAGGGGACATTTTTGGCCGTCTTTGTCTGATTTTTAAGGTAAATTATTCTTTTTGGCTAAACATACCTTCCTATTACACTCTGTATAACTCAGATTTATTTGATATTTTACCCAATGCTGGTAACTTGCAGTCAGCTCGGCAGGAGAGGGTGATCTCTCTTTATGCCCTGTGAGCCAATCAGTTTAAAATTGTGGCTATTATGTGTTAAGCGCTTTGTCATCTCTGCCATGTGCACTGAATGGAATTTAAAATGATTTAAAGAAGTCTTTAAATAAACATATAGTATTGTGGTGGTCACCAGAACCCATGGAATAAGCAGCTAAATGGATATGGAAAAATTAGAAAATGTCTACATGAATCTAATGCTGTAAATTATCTGGCCTCTGAACGTTTTATTTTGTTCACTGACCTCTACATAATAAAACAGAAAAAAATAAACTATTAAACAATAGCCAAGCCATTTCTGTTTTTGTCCCTTAGCATGTGCCAAAGCCACTTTTTGCAGAAAATACACTGCGTACTGTTGTAAGACAAATTTGTGTAGTTTATCAGTAAATTAAATTGATATTTGTAGTGTTGTTGTTTTTTTTTGCTTCTGGTTCACATGACACATTTTACAGGGTTAGACGCCAATACTTGTAAGCACTGACCCCAAAAGCTACCAAGCCACTAAATTTGGTGGCCAAAGTACAATGTTGGTCGCCCAAATGTAAACTTCTGTAAAAGCAACACTAAAGAAGCACTTTAACGCAACTTAACAAATCTTCACGTAATTAACTGAGACATCTCAAGCTCTTTGTAAATATATAGTGCATATATTGTCTTACAGATTCTTAAGGCCTGCACATAAGTGCGCTCGACTATGAAAGCCCGAATGACTGTGGACATTCCTTGCTGAGTCCGCTCCGCTTAGAGTACGCCCGAGTATATGTTCGGGCCTTTAGTCTCCTCCCTATGCCTCTGCCTCATCATACACCCTCTCCCTCCCTAGCCTCCCTCCCAGTTTTGTCCCTGAGCCATTCATGTCTGCAATAAAAACATTATAGAAAACCCATGATACATACTTTCAACTGTATTCTTCCTTCTAGCCACCTCAACTTCTGCCTCCATTCCCTCAGAAATTTTTGTTGTCGTTAGATTTATCACAGTATCTTATTAGCAGGTTAAGTGTGCTTATACCCAATTATATCCCTTTTTCACCCAAAAAAAGCAAGTGTACGTGAGTTTTTTAAACATGGGAAAATATGTTAAAAAAAAGACTGTAGACTCTTTTCCCATTGCCAGTAGATTAGAGCCATGTAAACGACATAAAACGCAGTAGACGAGCATGCCTTTTATTTGTTTGTTGAAGTAAACTCAGACACAGTAACTTCATCTCTTTATTTAGCCTAACATGCACATCAAAGTGGAGAGACAGGGTTAACAGCCGTTAGCAGCTGGCTAGTTAAAGCAGTTATCTCTGCAGCAGTTTGTTTCCTCAGCGGTTCTTCAGGTGCTTTATTCTATCATTCCAGGTTTTCAGGACTTTGTTAATCAATTTTTTCATGATAACTTCATATCACTGTTTCCTGTTTCTGTTTAATTAGTGCTTTAAAAGAACCAATGCCCTTGGGGACCCCAGTCAGAGGTATCTGCTTGTGCCTCTGCAGTTTTAGTGGAAGTTAAATAGAAATAGAACTACTGTATTTATTGTGGCCATGTTTGCCATGGGAGACAGACACAGATTTTCTAATGTGCTCTATGATCCAAAATACTGTTCTCCATGAAGGTAAGTCAGAGATACATTACTTAACTAACTTCTTTCATATAATATCTATGACTGTCAAATTCAATTGATCAATTAAAGGAAAATTTCACCTGCTGCTGTTAATGCTTGCCTAGTAAATCTACTCAAAAAAAAGATGTTTTTTTTTTGTTCCCAAACCCAGGCAGGAAGGAAGCAAATGTTTGCTCTTCCTGCCACATGCCACTACACCCTGAGCACAGCCTGAGCCGAATCATGTGCTATAACTGCCTGCAGTGTGTGCCGTTCATAGTTCGGATTTACTTCATGTACAAACTGAAAAGCCTACATTAAAATAATATTCATTCAGCTTTTATTTTGCCAGAGGATCATACAGACACAAGGGTTTCTATTAACGTTTAAGGGTGAATAATACATTTGGGTTAAAAGCTGCGATTTGTATTAAAGAAAATTATATAATTTTTGTTTTGTACAATATGCAAATTAACTGCAACTTCCCAAAACAATAGTAATCTCTTGGGGTTTATTTGTAAGATGACATTAATAACATAACTAATAATGTTTTGTAAGTTACCACTAGTTTATACTTGGGGTCCCCAGGGACCTCATTTAGGCCTTGTATATTAAATATGTTGGCAGGATGAGAGTTAAACTATTGTTGAGTTTGCTATGACACTGGGGGAAATATGATTGGCTGAAAGGTGAGAGGGCAGTCACATCATCACAGCCATAAAAAGTGATATAATAAATTGTGACATTATGGGCATCAAAGGGCATTTTAAATAAAAATGTCCTATAAAACTGTTATGATAAAATGATAAAATTACTTTTCATAATGCATTTTTAAAAGTTCATCTGTTATTGCACATATTATTGTTCCATTTTTCTATTTTACACAATTTATTCCTGTGATTGTTTCCTCATTATTCCTTCATCTAATATGGACACTTGGTGGTTCCTACTTAATTAGTGACTTCAGTGGTTCAAACACAAAGCAGTTCACCAAGTGGTGACTGATCCAAATGCTCTCTCCAGACTGACAGGCATTGCTGATGTTTAAATCTCCTTCAGCTGCAACTGCTGCGTCACTGTTCCTCATCCTCTCGCCAGTTCTTTGCCTCCCAGCTAACCTTGGCTCTGCACTGGAGAGAGAGAGAGAGAGAGAGAGAGAGAGAGAGAGAGAGAGAGTGATGGGTGGACGGTGGGAGAGTCTGATAGTGAGGAGGAATGTAAACGAGAGAGCGAGAGACAAAGAGAAATAGTATAACCCAGATACTGAGCCAGACGGGAAGCAAAATCTGAAGGAAAACAAGATATTTCTTTCTAGCAGTCAGCCTTCATGGTCACCTCCCCTATGTTGAAATATTCACTGCAGCTGTTATGTAACTGGAGTTTGGCAGGCCAATGAGGACACACAGGATGGAGGCAATGGAAAGACCTTATCCAGACCTGTCAGTGTTAATAATGGAGAGGATGGTGCTGTGGATTTCCACTGCAGTTGTGCACAAAGGACTGGGAGTAGACCAGACTAGAATGGAATAGAAAATGGGATTGTGATGATCTAGATCAGAAGTGTTTATTTTCAGCACCGTTTAGGTGTCTTCAGATGTGTTTGTGCCTCAGTGTGTGAATTCCTGTGGGTGGTGCATTTATGGGAAACAGCGTAGAATACAGTGGCTTTGGCTCACTGTTGATCTCGGACAAAGTCTCTCTCTTTCTCTCTCCCACACACACAGCCGGAAACACTCCCACCCCCCCTGCAGCTCCTTTCACCGGGCCCCTTTAAGTCTCCACATATGTTGCACAGCTACCACGTGACCCACTGGACACACACACCAAGCATGGGAGTGCATGTGCCATCATATATGTACAGGAAGGACACAACTACAAATGGAACCACACAGACACTCAAACTATGTTTTTTTGTTTTTCTCTAATCGACCGACATTAGCTGGATGTGGAAACAGAAGGGGATAGATCTAGTTCATAGACACCCTCAGAGCAATGGAAGATTTTGTGATGGAGACGATTCCTGGCTCCTGATAACAGTGTGGGAATCAACATATGAAAGGGCTCCTTTAGGGCATGACCACATACATCCACAGTTCATTTGCTTTTAAGTAGCTTCTGTAAATTCTCTAATATCTGGTGAAAGAAAAAAAACAGGCTTTTAATTGTAACAGGCATTTTATGGACATTTATTTACTGTGGACTTAAGTCAGACTCAGTATGTTTACATGACATTATAGAAAATTTATTAATTGTGTTAGTGTGACTAAAACCGGACTTTTAAAATACATGTAAACATGTTAGTCCAACTGAAATGGTACCAAATACAGTAGAATTTCTCAAAGTCCAACTAACACACCCAGATAATGCAATTGGGAGTTGATCTACTCCTGCTGGTATACAGTAAATCGGACCCAAATTGCCCCAGACACTCTGCGCATGCACCATAGTTTCCGCCCAGGGCTTTGACCCAGAAGACACATAGCATTAAATGTGTAACAGAGGAAGAAGTCAATAACAACATGGCGAAATCTCCATCCAGAGCCAACTGCATTTTTGGATGGACAAGGAGACACAGTTCATGCTGTGTCAGCTGAAAGAGTTTAATATTTTAAATACATGGATGGGAAGAAAACCCGGAATGGGGACCTGTTTAAGAAATGGCGGAGCAGCTGGACGACGCTTGATTTAAGAGGACGCTAGCTAACCGTAGTTTACTTGTTTGTCAGTTGTTTGGTCTGTGATGTAATAGGTCAACAAGAAAAAGGTCCAATACTGATAAGCTGAAAGGGGGCATATTGCCACCTCGTAGCAGAGTTGGACATGCTTCAATCAATAATTCGATTCCGCTCCCAGGCTTCTATACTGGGAAAAGGACAGTAGTCCGATTAAATGGCCTAGTGGAGCTATGACCATAGCTCAATTTAACTGTGCATGTAAACGTACTGACAGAATCTAAAAATATGTCTATCATGTCTTTTTGCCTGAAGAGGCCCCTCACGGCTTTAACCCCCTTTTTAGACTGAAATATTGCAACAAGTCGCCTATTGGGTGTTTTAACATTAAATTTAAAACAGATATCCCTATTTGTTGGGTAGTTCCATGACTTTCCTCATAGTGAGAGACGCAGGCAAGAATTTGTGTCTGTCCAAGACTTTGGTTTAAAATTAAACTATTGACATTCCCATCAGCCTCAGATGTACTTTGCCTTTAGTGTTTATTAGCAAATATTAGCATGCTAACACACAAAACTAATATATTGAGCAGGTTAGCATGCTGACATTAGCATTTAGCTCTATGAGTGCATCCTCAGAGCTGCTTGCAAGGCTGTAGACTCTTAAATGAGCTGTATGTGATATTCAGAGCATATCTGCTGTGTGATTCAAAGTCTGGGGTGGTTTTGTCTGCACACGGTTCTCAGCATGGAGGTGACTGAGCAGGTGGCTAATAGCTTATCATGCAAACTTAATAAAGAGTGCTAAAAATGGCAGCATTGCTGACAGAGCTAACATTATCCAATCCAATCCAGCTTTATTTCTTAAGCACCTTAAAAACAACCACAGCTGAAACAAAGTACTGTACATCAAGAGTAAATAAAATATGAAAACATAGGACATAAAAACAAACAATAACACAATGAATCAAAACAATAAAACACAACTACAAAGTACAATATGACACAAGTAAAAACAACAGTCATACCATAAAAGTAATGAAACAAATAAAAACAATTTCATACAATAAAAGCAATAAAAACAAAGAGAATCAATGTCTCATACTGAGTTGAAAGCCAAGGGGTAAAAGCAGGTTTTAAGGCAAGTTTTAAAAATTAACTAGGGTTGCAGCAGCATACTGATTTTAAGGTGTACCATGATATTAAAGTTGACGGTTATCTTATCTACAAAATTGAAAAAAAAAATGCAACTGGACAGAAAATCAGTAATTTTACTTACTTTTTAAAAGGGGAACTTCCATTTTAAAAATTGGTTTCAAGTAGGGTTGCGGTGCTCAATCTTAACTTTATTTTACTTTTTACACATAATTCCTTTACACAGATGGTTTTTAGTTTTTTATAGTTATAAAACATTTGTTCAGCTAAAAATAACCCTTCTGTTTTCATACTTTTCAGGGTCATTTTGACTTATAGTGATTATTATAGTTATGTATTAATAATAATAAATTATCTGGGGGAAAACAGATGACGCCATCCCGACATCAGCAGTAAGGTTCTGCTGTATAAGGGTAGTGCAGAGTGGTGGCAATGAGCTAGCCAGTTGGACACTCACAGGTACTCATACGCACTAACATGCACAGCTGCTGGCACAGCTACCACAACGATCCACAGAGAAGCGCCGATTACAACACATACACAGGAAGCCTAACTTCATTCTGTGCTTAAGACACCAGTACTCCACTATGTCTTAACATAGCAAATAGTAATTTGAATGCGGTATGTAGCTGCCCTTAATTTTCTTGTAAAAGCCTCCCTGTTTTGTGATGCATTCCATCCATCCATCCATCCATCTATCCGTCCAATTTTCAACTGCCTATCCAAGGCCAGATCGCGGGGGCAGCAGGCTGAGCAAAAATATTCCAAACATCCCTTTCCCCAGCAACACTTTCCCGAGGCGTTCCCAAGCCAGACGAGATATATAATCCCTTCAGCATGTTTTGGTTTTGCCCCGGGGCCTCCCACCGGATGGACGTGCCAGAAACACCTCTAATGGGAGTGGCCCCGAACAACCTCAACTGCCCCCTTTTGACGTGAAGGAGCAGCAGCTCTACTCCGACATCCCATCCCTCTGGATGTCCGAGCTCCTTAACCTTTCTCTAAGGCTTAGCCCAGCCACCCTCCGGAAGAAACTCATTTCGGCTGCTTGTATACGTGACTTTTTTCTTTGGGTATTACCCAAACCTCATGACCATAGGTGACAGGTTATTATGGTCATGAGCTATGGGTCATGGTCATGGTCATGATCCTATTTATTACTTGTAATTTCCTAGTCCTGCCTTTTGCTGCTAATATTAAGTTAACACCTCCTCCATCTGTTTCCTGCCCATTTCAAGATACCACAGTGATGTCTTTAGTTTCTGTCTAATGGTATACAATTTTAAGTGGCGTGCTACGTAATTAGCATCAGAATAAAGACTATAGTAGTGTAGGCTACCCAATTATTGATATTGTCTATGATTATTTTCAACAATTGACATTGTTTCACTACATCTCATAAAACAGAAGTGAACTATCATTTATTTACATACTATTAACCCATAAAACACAGGTATTCAGTGCAGCTGACCGGACAGCAAAAAAAAGCAAAGGGAAAGTAACTCAATTTAGCTCTTTCAAACTGTCAAGATACACTGAGCTATGCTGTACAGACCTCAATAGATGGCACAAGATGTCAAACATAGAGTATTTATTCATTATTTATTTATTATTTATTATGCATCATTAGTCTCTCTTCATCTTGCAGGGGGTTCGATATTGGCAACCATTTCTGTGAATGGATGTACGACTACAACTGTGAAGAGTTTCCTTTCTTCAAAGTTAATGCTCAGGCCTACCCTACAAAGGCCCAGCAGGTGTGTATGACATGTTAAGGGGAAGCTTTGGTAGTTTTCCCTGTGGACCCTTTTTCCCCAAGTTTTGACACTGGTCCAGTATTGAGAGAGACCACTGCAGTCACAGCACTGAAATAGGCTGCAATCTAATCCCTACGGGCAATTATGCACTGTCAATTTACATCCACTAACAGTGCTTGTTTTTGCCACTGACAGGCTCAGATTGTTATTCTAACTGTACGTTCAAAACAACAGCGACCAGAGCTTCCAAAGCGGCAGAAGTCATTCATTTTTAATGAGAGCCCGGTGACTTGGGCGATCTTGTCATCAGCCATGTGTCTTGGGCGACCAAAGCGACCGCAGCGGAGTTAAAACTTGTTTAACTTTATGGTAATGAGCTCTGATGCGGTTTGGCGGCATACAATCAGAATGCTGATGTACTTCGATGAAGCGGGTCCCAGAGAGCAAGCCATGTAACTTTGGTTCCTACAGCACACTTGTTCCGACAATGGATATCCAGAAGTTTATTACTTGCGTACCCACTCAGTCCTTTATAATGTGTCGCTGTTCGGTTACAGAGACCAAAATAAAAAGAATGAGGCTTGGGACCGTGTTGCGGAGGTAGTTAGTTGGTCTGGTGATTTTTAAAGTGTGTAATGTTAGTAATAGAGGAAAGAATTGCAGGCTAATTTTGCGATGTAGCATGGAAGTCTTCCTTGCTTGGTTTGAATGGGATGACATACGTTTTCTGTTTTCATTGACCAAACTTAACTTTCTGTTGGCCAACTATGAGCTTTTTGACTGGACAACAGCAAGCAGCAACTACGCTTCATTCAAGCCAGTAGTCCGCTTTGCGGCTCCTTTAAATTGACGAGCACGATTGAACGTTCAATGATTCACGTGATGAGCGACTAGAGCAAATATTTTTGACAGTTGCACTTCTTGCGCATCCACGAGAGACTTTGCCTCTTGGAAGCTTCTGGTTTAAACGTACAGTAAGTGTCTGACACTATTATAAAAAAGACCCTACAGAGAAACAAAACATTTTGCTTTACCTTTGACTTGATCTGGTTTGTTTGTTAGTGTGTAACCTAGTCTGGTACAAGGAGAGGTCTTATCTTATTCAGTTAATTATTATTTGTTGACTGCTGACTGATTTGGACTTGTCATGTCTCTGTACAGCTGCACTTCATTGAAAGCTACCTGCGTGAGTCTGATCAAGGCTTTGACAACCTGAGTGAGGAGGACCAAATAAAACTGAAGGAGGAGCTGCACATAGAGGTCAACAGGTAGGCTCAGATGTAGGACACAGTGTGACCTGGCAAAACGTGACACAGCACAAGACCAAGAATAAAAAAGTACCAAACAAAGTGACCATTTGTTTTTAAATGCAGGTTCTCCCTGGCATCCCACTTTTTTTGGGGCTTGTGGTCCATCATCCAGGCCCGGCTCTCCACCATCAAGTTTGGATACCTGGTGAGGAAAAGTTTTATTACTTTTCCACTAGCATTTCTTGTTTTTAACTTTAAAATGCTGTAACGTATGAAGGAGAAAATGCAGTATATACTACCCTCTGTAAGCTGTGGTAGTTAAAGACAGTCAAGAAGACATGAGCAGTTTTGTCCTGGAGGGTGATGCAGTATCAGTATTTACTGTGATAACACCAGGTCAGAGGATATCAGGTCAAGCCAGCCTGACAATAGATCACAGAGACAGGCAGAGGGAAGGCTGTTGGTTTGTCATAACTCTCTGGGTGACATAATTCGTCTACCTGTTGCTATGTATATATATATGTATATATATATATATATATATATATAGAGAGAGAGAGAGAGAGAGAAGAGAGAGAGAATTTTTTGCATTTTAAACAGTTTTGAAGTCCATACTAACAAGGTGAAGCAGTTGAGTGCTTTGATTGGGAATCAAATGCAAAGAAATTTACTTTATGATCTTGACCTTTCAGAGAAGTTTCAGCATAGTTTTTTTTTTGTATGTTGAACTGTTAAAGCAAAGCAGTGCAATGTCAAGTCAGTGTCAATAAGGTGTTCCATCACTCCGATATGATTTTGATTACTCACTAACGTCCAATGATCCCCTGTTAATTCGACAGAATTTGCACTTCTCAGGAGTTCCAGTTTAGTTGCTTTCTCTGATTTGTACAGGTCCTGTTTGTGTGAAAGTATTGTTCCCTGCGACGTTGATTCATATGACTTGTCACAACACGTCAACCTGAGAACGTCCCTTAGACCAGAGTCTTCCACAATGTTGGCTGGTCTGCAGTCAGTTTCCACCCATTTAGCAAGCGCTGTGGAGAATTTCTTCGATTCAGTTTCATCCATGGGCCTGTGGTCATTTGCTCACTCGAAAGTAGTGCTTTGCCAGCTTTGGCGATTTGTCAGTCTGATTAGCTGCACCTGTGTGCCCACCTTGTAGGTGGTAACTCAACATCAAAGTACTTCTGTGATATTTTAACTGTGTTTGGCATGAGCCATTCAAAAGTGCAGTAGTGTCTTATTTTTTATTACTGCAGCAGCAGGAAGTAGGAAGCTGCTGTGGCCGCTTGAGTAAGGCTTGATCGGAGCAGACGTGGTGTGTGTTGAGACGCTCTGGAGGTCCCCACTAAACTGGGAGATAACCCTCCTCTCGGGACTGGTGCCGCTGCCTTGCCATAGTCTCGTCAATGTATGGGAAACACTGCAGTGTATGATGATTTTTTATGCCTCTGCACCAGCAATAGCCAAGGCAGGAGACATTACGTTTGTTTGTTTATGTTGAATGTCCATCCAGGTGTCCACTGTCCATCCTATTCTTGTGAAAACAATATCTCAAGAACGCCTTGAGGTTATTTCTTCAAATTTAGCACAAACATTCACTTGGACTCAACAATGAACTGATTAAAATTTGGTGGTCAAAGGTACAGGTCAGTGTGACCTTGCATCCATCTCATTCTCGTGAACATGATATCTCAAAGGTCCTTGAGGTAGTTTCCTCTCATTTGGAATCAAGAATGAACTGATTGAAATTTGGTAATAATAATAATGATAATAATAATAATAATAATAATGCATTTTATTTATAGGCGCCTTTCAGAACACTCAAGGTCACCTTACAAGACACAGTAAACAAAACAAGTAGCAATGTATCCATAGATCATAAAATCAAACAATTCAGTAATATACAATAAAAGTTAATAAAATGACTAGACCAAATCATAATTATAAACACTAGGTATAAAATAATCATAATAAAGGCATCATCAGATTGTGTGTCTCTATTAAATCAGACTGAGTATGCCAGCTTGAAAAGGTGTGTTTTCAGATGGGATTTGAAAATGGAAAGGGAGTCAATATTTCGAATGTTGTGGTCAAAGGTCAAGGTTACTGTGACCTCACAAAATATGTTTTTGGCTATAACTCAAGAATTTATATGCTATTTATTACAAATTTCACACAAATGTCTAATAGGATAAAATGATGAAGTGATGACAGTTTATATCCAAAAGGTCCAACTTCACTTCACTGTGACATCATAATGTTCTGCATAAAACACTTTTCTGGCCATTACTCAACGTCATACTCAGGAACAGAAGGGGAGGTATTTGGTCAGCTACTGAATCGGTGACACTAACCTTGGGTGTCCACCTTGAAACTTGACTTGACTGTATAGATCGTCTGTGCTGCTGGGGAGACAATGTGTGTGAAGCATCCATGTTTTCACAGAGATGGATGTAAACTGGAAGAGAATCTTGACTGGTTCACGGAGATATACAGACCCAAAACTGAAATCTAGTTTAATCTGGATGTAAAGAGATCTGCTTTTCTGACTTTACTTTTTTTGCCAAGTGCTTGCTTCCATTTCGCTTTAAAATTCCTCCAGTTGCTCAAAGGCCATAATTTGCCTTTCCTAGGCCTACGCAGAAAGCCTAAGGCAGAGAGCGCACACCTCTCTGCCCTTCCACACGCAAATGAGAAAAGCTTGAAGCAGAGAAGGCAACCACCCTGCACTTCCATGCACCTACATGGAAAGCCTAATGCAGGGATAGCAGCAGCAAAGACCCCTGGGAACAGAACAGAGCAAACATCAATGACAAACAGAAATGACACTGATCAGTCCAACACAACATGAAAAGGAGGAGCTGGGATGGAGGCGGGTTGCAAAGCGGCTTGCAGAGGAAGCAGCATCAGTAGGCAGGCCAAAGCAGTTTAAGTAGGGCATCCTCAATGAGATTTGCCAATTGGTTGCATAGAAAGGAATCATGTGATCTATCAGCTGACTCCCTTCCATCACTCATCTGCTTCATCAGTTGATTGGGCTGCTTGAGATTAGCTGATGTAGCTGGGATGTGGGCTGAGCTTGACATGTCCTGTCTGAACTAACGCTATGCTCAATGTATTGTTATGCTTAATTTGCCATGTTAAATATTAGAGTACAACAAATTTTATTTTGGAACTTTACAATGTTCACAATAGTGCTTGTGGATATACTGTATATTCATGTATTCACTGACTGTGTTGTAGGAGTATGCCCAGGCCAGATTTGATGCCTACTTCCAGCAGAAGAAGATCTGGGCTGTCTAATGGAGAAAAATGATTGGATGGACTGACAACATGCTCAAACTTTCCCAAATTCATGCTCAGACCTGCTCTCTGCTTCAGCCTTATTCAAACCATATTACTAACATGAGGGTTACATTTTGAGCAGGAGAGAGGTGGACTTGGGTTACAGCTAGATTGGAAATGTTAACATTGCATCAATGTTTATGTGTTGATCATTCCCTTATGGAAATGCTCTGTTGGAAATAACCAAAATGTGAACTTCTCTTGGTAGATTCCTGCTTAGTGAAGCAGCCAGTTGTTAACTATGTATATTATATATAGACCTCAATGTGCCAGTAAGCTGGCCCTGTCTATTACTGATGGACTGACTTGTTGGCTGGTGAAATCATGATTATATCGACGGGTCAGATTGATGTCTACACTTCTAGATATTACACACTTGCTGTTTCTTTGATTTCCTTTTTAAATGGTTGTATTTGACTTTAGGGTTATGTGGTATTTTCAGATATGTGAATGGTTGAGGTTCTTTTCACTGGCTGGCTGGTTAAACTCCACCAAATCAAAATCAAAGACATCAAACATCAGGTGTTTCCATTACAATGAGCTCTGGTTCTTTGTAGCTTCCTAACTAATAATGCAGTTACACTGATTGGCTGTGACTTTATTCAGCCTATTCAAGTTTTACTGACAGAAGTTTGGTACTTGTATGGTATTATTATGGATAACTGTGATGAGTACATCCATTTCTCTGTATAGTTTACATATTGGGTATTAGGGGTGAGCGAAAAAAATTGGTTCCCTTCCCTATTGTGGTAATGGATTCGGCGATGTTGCTGTGTTTTTTTGTTTTTTTTTTGGGCAAAAGTGCCTACTGCCAACTTGCCTCATCATCGTAGCTATAATCCAGAATAATGATGCAGGCGGTCACAAGAGACTGAATTTTGCATATATTACGTATGAAGACAAGTTGTAGCTGTATAGTAACTCTGTTAAAGGGGCATTTAGTAAATATGGCTTTATATGTTTCTATCAGTGAACAAGACCACCCACTGCTACCAAGAATTGAGTCATTGGTGTTAATCACCTTGTCAAACCCAAGCACACACTGGCTCATTTTATGGCAGCTGTCTGCTCGGGCATGGTAAAAGTCTTACTTCATGCACATGTAACAATGGAAGTCAGCAGGGGAACAGTTAAGTACTGTGAACAGTGTGTGTCAGGCTTACCTCATAGCCTCTGCTCTTAGACGTTCTCCTATGCAGTGGGATAAGAGTTCACAATTGTTTAAAATGAGAAATGGAGACTGATAATCCTGCCATCTCTCACCAAAACTTCCTGAGGCCAGCCTAATTCTACCTCACCCCATCAAGTCGTAACTGGACCAACTATATTATTATCCTCAGATACACAGATTTATCATCTGCTGCTAAGAGAGCCTCCACTTTGCCGTTAAATGACACCATGACATCTTACATTTTAGTTTACTGTCTTTGCTTGGTGACTCTTTCATTTTAGTGAAATTTTTTTTGGCATGATTAGCATTCTTTTTTCCACTCTGTGTAGTACCAGTGACCACAAGCCAGCTTCTCAGTTCACCTTTACAGTAGCAGTGTCTATGAGACTTTATTAGAAATGCTAACAGCGAAGCTTTCCATGCTAGACATCTATTTTTTAGCATTTCACATTCCACACATTAGAAGGGTGCAGTACCCAGTGAAGAACAGACTAAAATCGACCTTTTGCAAAGCTCATCCTTTTAGTTACCTTTGCTGACACGTCTGTCAAGCTTTCCATGCTCACATAGCACATTTGGAATTTACAATGAAAATGGTAGATTTACCACTTGAAATTCTTTGTAAAAATTTTGACAGCAGTAATGACAACTGTCACTGGCAGATTTTATGGGCTGTGACTAGCTAGCTAATCAAGCTAATATAAGCTCCATGAGTTCATTAATAATACTATCTTCAACTGACTTAATTTTCTCCACATAACTTATTTTAATACAAGTATCCCTGTGAAAGGGGTCTTAAGTATGCACTTGACAGCTACATATATACATGTCATGCTTAAAGACTGATGCTAAAGCTACATGTCCCAGGAAAAAAGTCCTTACTAGTTAATTATCCATGTTTAAGCTATGGAAATAAAGGCGCAGAAATGTTCTTGCATTGCTGTGTAGAGCCAGTTAGTCACAGTGTTGGAAATATGATAAGGAAAAATATATTATCAGACTGTTTTTCATTCTAATAGTCCTTGATTTGCTGCTTAGTTTAAGTTACATCCTTGTATGTCTTTTAAAACAGTCTGTTCTATAGCTTTCATTAAGTGTACAAAAATAAGGCCTCACTGGCTAATGTTGCTGAATGGTGAGTTTAAGGCTGTATTAGTAAATCTAACACTCTAGACTAAAATGAGAGCGCTGCTGTCCATATGAATTAAGCATACTATTTCTATATGAATCAAAAATGTTAAAAATATTAACTGCACTTGGCGCTTTGCTGCCCTGTCTCTTCAGACAGAGTGTTCCAAAGTACGCTCTGCCACTACAAGAGTGTGGTGCTCTGAATAACTGAATGGTGTATTCCAGCAGTGCTCCCAATGTACAAATTGTCCAGTCTGTGCCATAGAGTGCTCTGCTGCTCCGAGAGTGTGGTACTCTGAACAAGTGAATGGTGTATACCAGTAGTACTCCAAATTTACTAAAGGTCCAGTTTGTGCCAGAATACGCTCTACCGTTCCAAGAGTGTGGTGCTCTGAATAACCAAATGATATAATTTCAAAAGTGCACCGAATTTACAAATGGTCCATCTTTTGCCAGAATGCCCTCTTGCACTTGGAGTGCAAACTTTCCCAAATTCAGCATAGACCAGGACAGAGACTACTAACGCTAGCTAACTCTGATAGCATCCAAGATTAGCTTCCCTCCAGTGGGGAAATGCTACACATTTAATAGTCTAGTTGTAAACAAGATTTTTTTTTTTTTACTAACCCTGCCAACTAATGTTGTCAGTGATATGCTCTTTTGCCTTGGAAGTAAAGCACCATTACCATCCTATGTTAGGTTGTAAGCTAGTTAGCTGGACATGCGAACAGTTAACAGCCAACAGTTGTAGTTTAATGTATTCCTAGCACTTTTGTTCTTTTTTTGTGGTTTAAAAAGACTTAAGAAAATTACATCATTCTCCAAACAGCACAACATGGAGAAATATTCCAAAGTGGGAAGGGCCTAATTTACCAAGTTACAATCACTAAGCCATGATTGGACAATGTACAATCACTGTTAAGTGGTCAGCGAAAGTTACTTAAAATGCATAATATCTGCTTTTGGTAGTATTAGATAATACTGTATGGAAACACTTTAGTGGATACTTGTTTGTTTGCCACAAAATCTATGACTCCATTCCCAGTGTGACTGACAAGAGAAAATTGTGCAACCACCACAAAGGCTGACCATGCATGTTCATTCCTGTTCATTTGTAGCATCATGTATCAGGGTATAGTCCCTGTCTAACTGAGCACTGGGATTTAGTGTGGAAGCCACCAAGTGACACTTGTGAAGTGTACAGTAGGCATTACCTCAGACTTCTTGTAAGAATGGCTACACTGTGATCTACAGTGTACACAGAGTTTAGGGAATTAAGCTGGATCACAAAAATAAACACCACAATAGTCACCTGATACTGGAAGCATCCAGAGGTGTTTGAATGTCTACTTTGGCACTTTTGATCTGAGGACCAGAAAAAAAAAAGAAGAATATACCGTGTACTGGAGTATTTTCATGTGTAAACATTTGATGGGTTATTGAACTGTGACTGTTGTATAAATGTTAGTTTTATTTACGTACAAGTCTATTTTATTGTATATTTCATTGTTATATTTCCTTTGGAATGTGTTTAACCTATAGTTTTCAATGTATTTTGAGAATGGACTATAGTGGAGGACTATTCAAATTTAAAGTGATTTTGCCAAATCTTTGCTACATCCACCGTGTAGCAATAGTCTTTACTGTGTCTTTTTTTTTTTCAATACCTTCAAGTGGCTCTATCTTCTACCTAACATGAATTTGTATTCATTTAGTTTTCTTTTATGACTAAAATGTATTTGGCCTGTGCTTTCATTTCATTTTATTTCTGTTTCAATATTGTTGTTCTTTTCCATTATTATTTTTATGTTTTTTGTAGAAAAAATGGACACCATGATCTGCAACCAGTACTTTCCATAAATGTTACTTACCTTCAGTATTGCATATATTTGACTATACGAACTGAAATTTTGATATAATTGGTTCTTCCAGTAAAATTGTAATTTGTCCCCAGTAGAGAACAAGAGAAGAGAATGAACACCCTCACTTATGTTTATACATGTAATATAATGTATGTAAAATTCACTAACATAAATATAGAGGGCCGTGCTAAAATTATCCACATATAAAGAATGACAAACTTGTACCTTATCATTCTTATGAATGTACATTGTGTTAATGTAATACTTATTTTCTGTCAAAGAAACATTGTTCTTTGATAGCACCCACAACTGCACTATTGTGTGACTCACAATGGTAACCTTTGCTATCTATGCAGCTATATTGAATGCATATGTACTCATTAAGATGTACTTTGTCATTAAAATATTATGAGTGAACTGCTGCAGCATAGAAATGACCTTGTGGCTGTAAATTTACTTTTCTGCTTTGCACAAATAAAAATTAAAGAGAAAACAACAGACTGGCCAGTGCTTTCTATTGTTTGGACATGCATTCATGATAACAATGACATCAACACCTTACAAAACAGATCTGACAAACCATGGCACCTGAGGGAACTGCTGCTTTTATACTTTGAAATTCATATTCTCACGTGGGATAAGCACAGCTTTTTGTTATTGGAACCATACTGGTGAAATTACTTGTAATACATAACAGTTAAGAATTTTTGGTAGCCACAGGCAACAGTGATTACATTTACATGCACTCTAATATTCTACTATTATTCCAATTCTAAGTTTAATAATTATGTAAGAAGTAAGTAAGTAAGTTATGTAAGAAGCATATTCTGTTTGGATATTCCAAATTAGGCACTGACATTCCAAATTAGGCAATGATGTTCCGAATTAGGCATTTTATCAAAAGAAGCATTTTCGGATTAAGTTGTGGGACATGTCGGTATTATTCAGGTTTGAGAGTGTCCTTTGGACATGTATACAGAACATTTGTAATATGCGTCTCATTTGTCACATGCCTCTTGCTTGTTTAGGGGTCAGCTCGGTGCTTTGTCATTGATACGTTGTACACAAACTAAGAATTTGCAAGGCAAATGTAGAGATGGATACCCTAAAGAAAAGCCTCTATCTGGTGGAAGAAAAAACACACCCAAGGGGGGGGGGGCCACAGCGCCCCCCCCCCCCCCCCCCCCAGAAAACAGACAAACAAATTCCCCTGCAATTGTACACCACCTGCACTAGTCTATATTAGTTAGATTTAGGGTGTCAAGAACCGCATAATAATTTGTGGACCCTGTATGAGAAAATTAGAGAATAATCATGATAATCAGGAGTGGAATTTACCATTAGGCCCAGGAGCCTAATGTGGACACGGGGTACATAGGGTACATGTCCCATGCAGCTATTGTATTCGTCCCCTATGTCCCCCTCACTTTTCCATACTGTAAATCCATTTGGACAGCCGTTCAATCCATTTTAACAAGTCAGAGCTTGTTTGTCCAAGTTGTCTTGAATGCACCATAAGTTGGCCAGCAAGGCACTTTGCTGCTTCTTTTGTCATCATCCCAGCAGAGAGGTATGTGTCCACTATAAGCACCTTGTAGGGAGGATGTAGTCCAATGTATGTTTGCACAAAAAAAATACAGCAAACAAGCCAGCAAGAAGCAGAAAACCCTGCACTCATTCTTGATATCATAAAGTGGTCATCAAAACATATAAATTGAGTTATGCGATTTTTGATAATATTTATCTGACATTAAATGATGCCAATTAATTAATTCATTTTCTGTAATAGCTCATTCTGTTGGGGGTTGCGGGGGGCTGGAGCCTATCCCAGCTGACACTAGGCAAGAGGCAGGGTACACCCTGGACAGGTTGCCAGACTATTACAGGGCTTCCACATAGAGACAGACAACCATTCACACTCACATTCACACCTACAGCCAATAAACCAATAGTCACCAATTAACCTGCATGTCTTTGGACTGTGGGAGGAAGCCCAAGCACTTTGAGAAAGCCCACACTGACATGGGAAGAACATGCAAACTCCACACAGAGGGACTGCCCCACCAGGAACCCTCTTCCTGTGAGGCAACAATGCTAACCACTTCACCACTGTGCTGTCCAATGATGCTTATTCAGCTCAGTTAAAAAGCAGAGCCTGCTATACTAGCTAATTCTTACCTTGGATAGATGTAGTTTGCTAAATGGTTTCATGCTAGTATTAGACCCACTCAGTAATTTGTACTCACTATTTTTTTGCACATATATTAAAAAAAAATCCATATTAGAAAGAGGGACACTGGAGCTTACATTGTTCAAATCAATCAATAAATCATCAGTGAATATATTTGCAACATGAAATGTTACAATTTGATTTTCGTAACTTGTCAGTTCCTACAATATTTAGTAGTGGTGGTTCCACAGAACTACAAACCCATTTCAAAGCTGCCTTTCTTATCCAAAGTTCTTGAAAAAGTAGTGGTCAACTCTTATTCGTGTTAAACAATAACATTTTAGATACATTCCAAGCAAGCAACATAGCATTGAAACTGCTCTCCTCAGGGTCACTAACGATTTACTGATGCTGGGGAATTTTAGTTTTTACTGATTCTTGACTTAGGGCTGCGTTTGACACTGTCGATTATAACATTCTTATCAATAGATTAAATCTGTGTGTAGGTATACCTCGTATCTCTCAGAAAGAGAATTTTCTGTGTCCATTGGTCATTTTGGTTTATCTTCGTGGTGCGTATGTGGAGTGCCACAGGGATCTTTTCTTGGTCCTGTTTTGTTTTCACCTTAACAAAATACATTTCAGTGGAGTATCCTACCACTGTTATGCTGATGATACCCAAATCTACCTGTCCTTTAAGCCAGATAATGTTAGTTGTATGAGCACTTTATAGAGTGCTTCACTGCTACTAAGAAACTGATGACTTGTGATTTTCTGCAGCTGAATTCAGACAAGAGAGAAGTGATAATCTTTGGTCCTGATCACCTAGCAAGGAAATTACAACCCTTTATTGCTCTTCTTGCAGCAAATATAAAATCTACAGTGGGAAATTTAGGCATCACTTTCAATTCTCAATTGAACTCTGAACCACATGTCAATAATCTCATTAAATCCTGCTACTTCCACCTAAGAAATATTATCAAAATCAAATCAGCTGTGTTTTTTCCTCATGCCTTTGTAATCTTGCGCCTTGACTACTGTAATGCACTGTGTATATGCATCAGTAAATCTTCAGTAGCTCGGCTTCAACTAGTACAGAATGCTGTTGCTTGTATTTTAACCTGGACAAATCATAGGTCACATATCACGCCAATTCTTGCTTACCTACCTTACCTAACTTCAGAATTGATTTTAATATTCTTTAAATAACTTTTAAAGCTCAACATGATTTAGCGCCGAGTTACATAGTTGTATATAAGTCTACCCTCACTAGTTGTCCCTAGGTCAAGGCTGGTAATGAAAGGTGACTGGACTTTTGCCATCAAGGCCCTGAAGCTCTGGAATTCTCTGCCTGAGGAGATTAGTACTGGCCTGGTGTAACCTGTACCTTCTGCCTGACCTCAGCAGGGAGAAAAGGCAGTTATCTGGGTGGCTGGGATCTTTTATGATTCCCCTGGCCCCTTATTTTTGCAATTTCTTGTAGCAGCACTACTGACAGTCAAGAGGCTGGGAGTAAAAGCTCCACAGTTTGCCTTTCTTGTGGTGCTGCAGTGTCAGAGAAAGTGTTTTATTTTTATTAGGCCCACTTGTTTTTGTTAGTTGCTGAAAACAGTAAAATAAATCTCTCCATCTCATTTACTTGGATGCAGACTGGAATGTGCAGCCCAAGCCACTGTATCCAAATGCACACACACCTGGTACACAGCCTGTATACAGACACATTTCATAAAAACAAAATAACTAAGAACTTAGTAAGAACTCTTAAACCAGCAGCTGCATGTTGGATGTTCAGTAAAATGAATGTTTACGTATGTAAACACGGTTTTATGAATGAAAGTGAACCTGTAACCATGTAACCACATCCTTGGATCAGGAGCATTAAACCAAATTAATCACACCTGTGGGTGCTTCGCTCCCTACTAAGCCCCATGCACTGAAGTGTCAAAAATCGGTGCCTGGAAGTAGGCCTGTAGGCTCCCGACCTTGAACCTCTTGTCTCTTGTCAGTTGTTCTCAGATGTCGATTTGGTACCTTAGGCTCAGCTGGCAAATACTTAAAGAAACACTGGAAACAGGCAAAGTCCGATGCAATCAAGTTTAATGTGTCAACAGGCTTTAACACATACAACTTAGCGAGTCAGACTCCGGAGTGTGACTGAAAACCTGCTCTCAGAACCCTGGCTTATATGCTGGTGGAGATTCAAATGAGTCTCCACCTCTTTTTGCTAATCTTTCCCTCTTAAGACCAATTCTATTGGTGGAAAACCTTTCTTTGTGTCCAATTCTGATTGGGCCCATTTTTAATGGTGTAATGCAGCCTGGAATTTCCCAAGTTTTCTTCCCTTAGGTCTGGTTTCGCTTTCACTCTATTTTTAAAAAACATGTGTATTTTGGGGACTTTCTATACAGTCCTCAGTGCTCTCAGTCTTATGCAAGGTGAACCTTTAGAGTGCAATCTGTGAATGTGTGTATGTATTACAGCATTTGAGTATGTGTTTCATCGTTTAACAAGACACAGTGTGTTCTTTCAGTAGGTGCATACAACATGATTACATAGTCTGGTGCTATGGTGCTATGAGTACTTTGACACATACAACAATGTTTTATCATATTTAAATGTAGATCAAAGAGCTTTATAATGCCTTATACATAAAAACATGATTATATGAGTTTCTTAATCAATTTATACATCTTAACCTTACTGTTTGATCTGTTGGCACAAACTTTTACACTACATTCCCCCCTTTGGGGCTACAATAGTCCCATATAATACTTTAATCACAGAGGGAGAGAAAAATATATATTCCCCCCTTTGGGACTTTATAGTCCCATAACTACTGATTAAGATTATGTATTACCATACTGGAATCATCTTCAGTGATTAGTAATAAGGTTAACACATAAATCAGATTTCATCAATTATCATTTTGTCACACATATCTGTATTAGTGAATAACACACGTCATATATCTCCTTATGAAAGAGCAAGCATAATCATCAGTACCTTTAGGTTTCATCATCAGTCATTATTACTTATTATCCAATCATCATGGCATTAACATGCATAAACTCCCTTTTGTCGATTCATCATGTCCATATCAGTCCTTGTGACTTAAGAAGTGTTGAACCGCCACCTTCCCTCTCAGCAAAGAGACCTCCGCCATGAGGGTGTCTCGGGACTCAGTCATTTCTTTGAGCTGGGCCCGCAGCTTCAGCAGCTCCTTGGCGGTGTGCTGCTGCTGCTGTCGGCTCAACACATGATTCTCACCCTTTCTGATTGCATAGGTGTCACGGCGAATCCTGCGCATTTTTTCACGCAGTACTGGGGGAAGACTGCGCATCAACATGCGATAAGGTCCTTGGCCAACTGCGTGAAACTGGTTACGCAGTACAGCCTCAATTTCACGATCTTGCTTAGTTTTGGCCTTCCCCTCAGGCAATAGCCACAGATTGGCCTCAACGAATTCTGGGACTATGTCATACTCATCCTGTAGCCTGTTGCGCATATAGGTGTGCAGTGGTTGTACTGGCGCGGGACCTAGCAGTCTGCCCCGTGCACTCCTTTGTTGTTTAGCTGGCTCTGGGGGGGGGTCAGGAGTAGTAGGTGAGTAACTTAGTGACTCGGTATCCTCGTCCGTTACTGATGAGGTGTCATCACACCCACGGTATTGGCAAGGAAGACATCCACTCTGACATGGCATTTGTGGGGAGGTGGGAGTTTGGACCTCTCTAGCGCCTGCTCGTGAGGTGGAAGGCCCTTGGGCCCCCGCGACATTCTGCATGAACTCTAACTGGGAGTATGGCGGGTTTGGGTTCCCTGGAACGGGATCGACTGGGGCCTGGACTCCCCAAGTGGAGGATTCTGCTTCTGGATTGGCACCTTCTTGGGGATTGTCGGCATGACTGGGGACTATTGGTGACATCAGCAGCTGGCGAATGGTACGTGCAGGTGCAGGGTCATCCAAGACTGCAGTGAAGACCTGTTGCGGCGTCATCATGTAGGGGTTGGAACTGCGTCGTCCGCCCGTCTGGACACCTTCACCGGGGTTGCAAAGGGGCACCAGGCGACTGCCCACGGGGTATGGTGGCGGAGGTGGACGAGGAGGTCCCATCACGCCTGGCGCCTGCTGTTGATACTGGAATACGGGCTGGTCCTCTGGGTTCTGCTGGTATGGATGTGGGGTTCTCCAAGGTTCAGCCATGGTTTATGTCTATCTCAAAAGTTTGTAAAGGACATCTTTAATGTGCTATCCCTTCTTTGTTAGTACGGTGTCTGTCCCTACAGCATTTTGATATTGTGTACAAGCCATGCAAGCAAAATTACTGTGTCTAATGGTTAAGTATTAGTGGGGTTGGTGACGGCAAGACTCCTAGGTGTTCTTACATTATCTCTTCGTACTTTCCCTCGACTGACTCCCATTTCTGATCATCAGGGCCTAGTATCTCATCTGACGTCATCATTTCATATTGGTTTCCCTCATTCCATCCTGTGCTCTGGTGGAAATTGCTAAGCTCTTTCCCTTCGGGGCCACCCATGTCTTTATATAATTCTGTGATTGTCTTGGGATGGGAGCCTTGATCTATTACAATAAACTGTCCGGCAACACTTGCCATCGTTCTTCTGATGAGGAGTTGTACCAAGGGAAGAATACAACAGGCTAGTACAAAAAGGGCCAGTACTACAAATCCCAACAACATCCCCATCATGTGTAAAATCTTTTCAGGGGATAACTTTGATATCCAGTCCCAAATTGAGGAGATTTTAGTGTTCCAATTTGAGTGCTGTACGTGTTGGTCTCGCATGGTACGTATGCTATTCAGAGCCTTGGTTAAATTGCCATCCTCCCCGGTGTGCATGGGGATGACGGTGCAACAATGTTCTCCAACTACATCACAGATCCCTTGGTCTTGAGCAAGCATAGTCTCGATGATGAACCTGTTTTGCAGTGTCATCAGGGATGTAGCATGTAACTGCTCGCTCACCCCTTGTAAGGCTTCTATAGTCCAATTCACAAATCTTTGTTGGTTGTACCATAAGTAATTTATCCAACGGCTATTACGAGCTATATACTGGGCATTAGCTATGGCTCCCCAGATCGGCCAGGAGCCTAACACTCTACCTGTCTCTATCCATTCATCTGATATAGCCTGTGTGTCCCTGGGAACCCCTTGTGGCACCTGATCCCATGTGATGTACACACTAGCATCCTCCTCCCAGGAGAGAGTTGGAGAATTGGTAGACCTGCGAGACCGTGAGTGATTATTGTTATTTTGGCTGTTATTCAGACTCATGATTGTGATTTGTCCTGTTAACATTACTGGGGTACAGATTCCTGTCCAATTCTCTGGCAGCACAGTTTTCACCTGAAGATCATTTTCACACATCCAAAATATATCTGCCAGTGGCACTGTACCATTAGTTAGGTTAAGTGTCAAAATCCAGGTGGTATCGTTATAATTTCGTCCCATAACCATTGAATCGTTCCCACCATTGACTACCTGATGGCACTGAATTTTAGCCTCTTGAGTTGTGTTACATACTTTCTGTACCCCCGTGAGCTGTACCCTACCCGCTGATGAAGATACGTTTCCCACAATCTCCTCATACCGACATTGGATCAGTCTCTCTGCCTCCTGGGAAGAGTTAGTAGAAGTAACATTATTTAACCAATGTTCTATATTATCTCCCCGTGCCACACAAAAGGGGAACACAAGATCTGGTGCCAAATGTACTACTGGGGGCACGTGAAACTCTTGCTGGAATTTGTCAGAGGCATTTTTAAGATTTCCCGGACAAATAGCAGTTGTGTTGGTCCACCTGTCTCGTCCTGCCGCCATCCACATGACACATGCAGCAAAACATGTACTATGCTCCCAGCACTTATCTATGTTTGGGAGAGGCTTAACTGTGGGTATGCCCCTCCTTCTATGGCATGCTACGCACGTGATGTTAGTTACCTGTTTTGCGGAGTATTCTAACCACTGGTAGAACATGTTAGACGTCCAAGTAGTTGTTCTGATTATCTCAACCTTTTGCATCACCACGTCTCTCGGCTTTCTTTGGGACCTTGAGTTCAATCTTAGCCATTTACGGGCCACTTTCACAGATAAGGTAAGCCCTGTTTCTATATTGGTACAACCTCTCATGTTACACCAAACTCTTGCCGTCATCATTCCCTCTGCAGTACAGTGTGGACTTATGGACTGACCATGCAACCTGATGTTTCCTGGACCCTCCACCAAGATGTCATCATAAGCATGTGATTTATAGTAGGTTAGTTGTATCATTTCCCTGTGTGGTATCTGTCCCTGTTTTGCAGCCATAGTTCCTAATGCCACTAAGCAGTCACTTGTCTGCATCTGATGTCGATTGCCCAGTTCTGCTCCTGCACTCTGCCTCACTTTCAGAATAAGTAAGAGGGTTAGTAGCACTGCACCTATCACTCCCACATTAGCTCCTCCTTGCCTGATCTTCAGACCCTCCTGCTTGCCGGGGGGCTGTTCCTTCTTCAGGGTCTGATTCTCTTGTGTCTGTGTCTCTCGAGTCTGAGTCTGAGCCTGAGTCTGAACCTGTGCCCGTGTCTGGTGCTGGGCCTGTGTCTGAGCCTGATGCTGGGCCTGTGCCTGAGCCTGACGCTGGGCCTGTGCCTGAGTCTGATGCTGAGCTCTCTTCTCCTTCTTCTCCCTCCGTCTCTGTTCCCTCTCTCTCCTGTCCTTCTGCCTCTGCAGCCACCTCTCTCTCTGCACTTGTCCTCTCATGATCTTCCCTATCTCTAGCAGATGATGACTCATGAGGTTGAGATTGGCTGCCAGTCCTGGAGGCTGAGGAGCTCCTCTCTGATGAGCTCCCTGCCACTGTTGATACCCTCTCTGGTAGCGACCCGCTGCTCTCACTCTGGGTTGAACTGCTGCCATCGCCCTGGGTTGCCTCTGCCCTGCGTCTCTGTGCAACGCGTGCTGACCTTCTTGTCCCCTGTTCCTGTGGGGAGGCGTCGCCATCCCCTTCTGGTTGATCTCTCTCTGCCCTTGGGGCGGCCTCGCCGTCCCCTTGTGGATCTGGGGGAACTGCTCTCTGCCTGCGTCTGGGCCGGGGTATGGGTGGTCTCTCTGGGACTTGTGGGTTAGCTCTGCAGCAGTGGTTAAGGTGGAACCAAACGTCCTTACCTTCAACTTTCAAGGCAGTTGGTGTGGCAAGTATCACCTTGTATGGACCTTCCCTTCGTGGCTGGTCCCACTTTCTTTTGAACACCTTGACGTACACCAGCTCTCCTGGACGTATTCTTTGGAGGTCTCTTGGGATGTCGACCCCTCTGTTCTCAGTGGCACCCTTCACCTGCTGGAACACAGCCCTGTGGATACGAGTTAGACTTCGTAAGTATTCAAACATTTCGCCTTGTAGTTGTTCCAGGGACGGTCCCTCATGGGGACCTCTTAAGTATGGTAGCGGCATGGGCCGGCCCGTAAGCATTTCATGCGGTGTTAGATGCGTGACTCGGCTGGCTTGTGAACGCATAGACATTAGTGCAAGCGGTAAAGCATCCACCCAGTTAAGCTTATTTCCACTGTCTGCTACTATTTTAGCTATTTTGGTTTTCAAAATACCATTCGCCCTTTCTACAGCTCCCTGTGATTGGGGATGGTATACGCAGCCAAATTTTTGTTTGATCCCTAATTGTTTCAGTGTCTCCTGTATGACGTTAGACACAAAATGGCTACCGTTGTCTGATGATATGGTATCTGGCATTCCAAATCTTGGGAATACTTCTTGACACAAAAATTTTGCAACTGTTCTGTGGTCTGATTTTGCTGTAGCTTTTGCCTCCACCCATCTACTGAATCTACATATGACCACCAAAACGTATCTCATTCCCCTAGCTCTTGACTGTGGTCCCATGTCTATGTAGTCTAACATGATGTGTCTAAAGGGACCGTCTGGGGGTGGTATGTGTGCCAATGGAGCTGAAAAAACTTTCCTGATGTTGTGTTGTGCACAGATGTCACATTCATTTAGTACCCTATCCACTGTAGCTGCCATAAATGGTGACCACCATACTGCTTGTAGTTTCCTTAGTATCTCCCCCCTTGCGCAATGGTCACTACCATGCGCCCAAATTATGGCATGTCTCAATAATAAGGTTGGTAGTACAAAGCGGCCATGGGCATCTAGCCAAACTCCGTGCAATGGCCCTGGTCTCATGTTTTTTACAGCACCCCTTTTTATCCATAAACGTTTTTCAGCCTCCTCCACTCTATCCTGAGCGGCTTTAAGCGAGGGCAAGGAAGTGAGGGATTCACAATCTTGTATGGTAAGTATAGGTGCCATTACTGCACCTATTGCTGCCTGTTTAGCTGCCTCATCTGCCAGATTATTACCTTTTGCTATCAATGTATCAGTTTTTTGGTGTGCTGGACATTTAATTACAGCTAGAGCTTTGGGAAGCAACATGGCTTCTAAAAGGTCAAGAATGGCAGCTCCATGGGTTACAGGAGTGCCGTCCGCTCTACGAAACCCTCTTTGTTTCCAGATGTTAGCATGAACATGGCACACGCCATAGGCATATGCTGAGTCCGTGTAAACATTCAATGATTTCCCCTTTGCCAATTGACATGCCGCTGTTAAGGCTTTTATTTCTGCGAGTTGGGCCGAGCAAGGTTGAGCAAGGCTACAGGCTTGCAGTGTGACAAAACTTTGATCAGTGTTATTGAGCTGAACAATACCATATCCTGCGTGGCTGCCAGTGCCATCTCGAAAACAAGAACCGTCAACAAACAGTGTGAGATCTGCAGGAATTGGTTGGTTATGTAAGTCTTCCCTGGCGCGCATGAAATTGTCTGTCTCATGAATGCAATTATGTGGTGCACCTTCTGTTGGCAACATCAGCTTTGTGGCGGGATTAACGATGGTGCAACGCTGTATGTTAAGTTCAGGGGCTGACAAAACAACTTCATAGCCCGTACGCCTGGCTTGCGTCAGAACGAAACGTGGACTTGTTAGCAACGCATGGATTTGATGAGAAGTGTACAGTGTCACAGGATGTCCCATGGTCAGCGATGATGCTTTCTGAAAGGCAAAGGCAGCTGCCGCCAATCCCTGGTAGCAGGGTGGCAAACCAGCCTCTATGTTATCAAGTTTGGTGCTGTAATAAGCTAGTGGTTGTTTACCTGTAGGTGTGTCTTGCATCAGGACAGCACACGCAAAACCAGATTTCTCTGCAACATAAAGGTGAAAAGGTTTAGCATAATTAGGAGTCCCCAACGCAGGGGCAGATTGCATGTCATTCTTTAAGGCTTGGAACGCTCCCTCCGCCTCATCTGTCCACTGCAACTGTGCTGCGTTGTTTGTTTGTCCTGCTGCCCTAATCAGAGCCCTGAGGGGAGCAGTTTTTATGGCATAGTCACAAATCCAAGGTCTGCTGTAACCTGTCATACCCAGAAAAGACAGCATCTGACCAACCGTTTGCGGTTGAGGGGCCTTGATTACTGCTTCCAATTGCGAGGGTGCAATAAACCTTTTATCTCCACACAATTGTCTCCCCAAATACTCTACTGACTGCTGGCAGAATTGCAGTTTGTTTTTACTGACTTTATGTCCTCCTTCTGCCAAGGCTGTAAGCACAGCAATGGAGTCTTTCTCACACTGTTCTTTGGTTGCACTACAGATAAGCAAATCATCCACATACTGTAACACAGTGCTTGGCACATTCAAACTTGCCAAGTCCTGTGTCAGCGCACGGTTGAAGAGCGAAGGTGACTCGGATAGGCCCTGCGGGAGGCGCTTATATGTAAATTGCCGACCTTCATACGTGAAGGCAAACAAATACTGAGAATCTGGGTGTAGTGGTACACTGAAAAAAGCTGAACACAGATCAATGACTGTGTACCACTGGGTGTCTGGTGGAATATTTGAGAGCAACGTATGTGGGTCTGGAACGTGTGGTATTTCCCCGTCTATTACTGCGTTTACAGCTCGTAAGTCGTGGACCAAACGGTAGTCTGTTGAATTTGGTTTTCTTATGGGGAAGATAGGTGTGTTACAGGGGCTTCTAGTCTCAACCAATACCCCTGCCTCTACCAACCCCTTAATTGTTGGTCTGATACCATCAATGGCATGTTGCTTGAGAGGATACTGTTTTTGATATGGTAAGTTAACGTGTGGTTTTAGCTTAATGTGAACTGGCTGAGCTGATTTAATTAAACCCACGTCTGTTTTGTGAGCTGTCCACAGTTGTGATGGGACTTGATTTAACATCTCCTCATGTTCTGTTGCAATTGCCATTTGGGTGGATGTGGCTACATCTACCACCACCTTGTCTGCTAGTGCCTCATCACCTACTTTAAGTGAGATTCTGATGAACTGTTTGTCTTTAGAAATATGGATGTATTTGCTTTGTGTAGGTATCCACTCTTGCACCTGCATGGCACGCTTGACCATGGGACCAAGATGATGAGACTCATAATGTTCTGCCACCAACAATGTGACATGTGGCGTGGAGTTAGGTACCTGAAACCACCCTGATAATTCATCTGGAAGGCGAACTGCAGCTGCTACACCCTCTGCTCCCAGAAATATGTCTTCACTTGTGATCAAACATGGTTTTTTGTTAACTATTGCATCCCAGCATTCTTGGTAATCTACATGAGTCTGATCTTTGTCATACATGAGCGTGCAATGCAGTGGGAGAGTGGGGGTGTGTGCTGTGTCGTAGTGCATGCGAATCCACGCCCCCCATTCAGCCCATTTCTGTTGAAGATGTGACTCCTCAGGTGTCAACTGAAGCCAATAAACCAGGGCCTGCTGTTTGTCTGGTGTAGTTTGGGGAAGCTGGGACATCATGCCTTGTGGGGGATCATCAGGGAAATCCAAATACAACCCATCTTGGGTGCACATGATTTTAGCCTTCAAGGGACACAAAATGTCTCTTCCTAACAAATTTACTGGGGTGTAGGCCGAATATAGCAAAGGAGCACAAATGACTCTTCCTGCAATGAGCATTGGAACGGGCTCTGTCAACGGTATGACTTGTGATTTCCCAGAGAAGCCTATTGTTTTTATTGATGATGTAGAGAGGGGGAGCCTTGAGCCTTCTTTTCCAATGCATGAATATGTGGCTCCTGTGTCTACCATGAAAGGATACTCACGGTCCTGGATGACAACAGGTATGATGGGTTCGTCATGTGACTGGAGTGATATAGCTGGTAACATTGCTTCCCCCTCAGGCTCCTCTGGGCACCCCTACCAGGGGCGTGGCTGTTCTGTGCAGGGCCAATTCTGTGCCGGACCTTCCTATGGATTGCTAGGGCACTGAGCTCGTATGTGACCTGGCTGTCCACACCCCCAACAGAGGTTTTCAGGTGGAGCCTGTTTGGTTCCTGGTTGTTGATTGAACTGTTCCTGATATCCCTGCTGGTTGCTTGGTGTGTAATTTCTGCCTCCTCTCCATCCCCGGTTTCCTCCTCGGCCCCGCCCTCTGGGGGGTCGTTGGCCGCCACCACCTCTTGATGTTTGTGACTGATAATAATGATGGTGATGTGTAGCATTGACTGCAGTGTCTTTGCTTGCCGCGTTGGAATCAGCCAGAGCTGGCTGCAGAGGAGCTTGGGGTTGGCCACCCTGTGGAACTGCTTGGATGGCCATTACCATGGGGGCTTGAACCTTGGCTTTCTCTTTCTCTTTTTTCACCTGTTTGCTCAACTCACCCAGCTGTAGCTGGGTCAGTTTGTTAGCCAATTGTTTATCTTCCTCCTTTTTCCTTTTGTCCTTCTTGTAGAGTTCTACATGGTGAACGATATGCTCTGTAAACAGTGGCCATTCCATCTTCATCATGTCCATGAATGGCCAAGGTTCGTACTGCAATCTTCCACTGGTTTTTGTTACGATAGGGCACATGGGGGATTCCTCACCGTCCTCACTCTCTTCTTCCGCCATTCTGAGTACTTTCAGGACTCTCCCGTTTCTCAGTGTCATACCTGCTGGACTCAGACCGCTGCTGTGTGTTGCGCCGTTGTATGACGTCAACTCGTTGTCTGTATCCTGTATGTCCTCTGTTCGTGCCTTGTCAGTTTCCATAGTGCCCTGAAGTCGTATAGTGACATGTTCTTTTGTGGATTTGGCGTTAAGCTCTTTTTGTCCTTGCCTGGGGCCCTGGGGTTGTCTAATTCCTTCCTCTAAGGCCTCTATTTCTTTGGACATGTGGTCCAGTTTTTCGTTAGTTTTGTCAATTAATCCTTGCATTTGTTGAACCATATCCCCATAGCCACTTTCCACATTGGGACTCTGGCTGCTCCTGTTGGCCTGCATGGTACTCACCCCGTTATTTTGGTCAGGTGGTGGGCTAAAGGCAGCCTGTCGCCTGCGCCACTCCTCTTCGAGGCGTTCCATCTCTTGTTCCATTAATATCTCTATTTCCGGGGTGCTCCGGTGTCTCAGCAGTCGCTCCTGCTTTGCCTTCTGTGGGTGTCTAGTTTCTCCAGTAGGGAGATCATAGCAGCTTGAGTGGTGGGGCTTGGTATCTCTCACCTTTGGTTGTCTGCTTCTCTGCTCTTCATGTCGTCTCATAGGTGGGACTTGTTCTTCAATGGGAGGAGCTTCCCCTTGGCTGACAAGTCCTGTCAGTTCCATGTCTGTGGTCCAGGCGCCATCACTGCTTCTCCTGTTGTGAGGCGCTTGTCGGCGCAGCTCTGTCTCTGGGACCCCAGCTTCTTCATCCTCTTCGTCAGCTATTGACCCATCAGTACTTTCTGTGTCTGAGAGGAGAGCTTTCTCCATTGGTAGCCGTTTTCTCGGAGTTAATGGTTTTCTCCGTTTGGGTTCTTTCTTAGCATTCTTGGTTAAAGTCACTGTAAAAGTCCCTTCTATTTGACCTCCCAGTTCTGTGGTTTCTAGCAAGGCATACTGTCCCATTGTTGGTTGCGTCGGCTCTTGTGGGTATGGGGGTGGTGGTGGTGTGGGTAGGGGCGGAGCTGTAGGCATTGTAGGGATTGTGGGCGTCACCTGTTCTTTTGTCTGTTCTTTTTCTTTTTCTTCCAATTGCACCATCATTCTTGACCCTGTTTGTTTGAACCATCCCAAAACCTCTCTCTCCTTTGCACGCTTGTTTTTTAATGCGTAACTTGCCTTAATGTCGCGAGCCTCAATGTGTCTTAATTCTGACTCCACCTCATCACAGCATGCCAGGTTGAAGGTACCCTCCATAGGCCAACGATGCCTGCCTGATGTTCTTTTGTGCCATTTGGCTACACACCGTCGGATTCTTTTAGCTCGAGTTGGATGTTGCTTTATCACTACCTCTATGGGGGTTAAAGCCCCTTTCTCCATCTTATCCTGTCTGGCTCCCATGAAGCCTTGCTTGGCTTCACTGTTTCTGGAGATCTCTGGTTGTTCGTCTGTTTCTGTAGTGCGTATCAGCACCACTATCTTGCCTACTGTTATAGCAGGTTTGTATCGTGTTCCCCCAACTGGGTTATATTCTAATTTATGCGACCCGTCCCCCTGTGGAACTTGAACTATGCACCCAAATTTTCCAGTTTCCCACTCAACTTTTCTGGGCACTACAGTAATCTGCAGCCGTGGATGATATATCTCTCCAGTTCTACTCTGTATTCTTATCTGTTGCAGAGGCAGTGAGGCTACTGGTGCACCTTCATAATTTTCACACAAATATTGCAATAGTGTATGTAATGAAAAAGGATTCCACAATCTGCGCAAAATCGCTTCCCACGGGGCACCCGGAAACAGTTCTTTTACTCTTTTCAAATTTACAAATTTAGTGATTTGCCAAAGCTTCTGCTTAATTTCTTGCTCGTCTTGCCAGTGCTCGACCCCCTCGCTGTCGTAGTATGATCTCTCTATCCAAAAATGTGTTCGTATTCCCCTATATTCTATCGGGCCCTCGTTTAAACAGTGTTCTTCTCCCCAAATCTCGTCATCAACAATTTCTCCCCCATCCATCTATTTTTAGCTGCTTAATGTTTCTCCCTTCAGAGCTCACCTCCCTACTGCAACAGGTTGATTTATCAGTTTAATTTCTTTTCTGTTGGCTCTGCTCCACCCAGCTCTCAACAGCTTGATTTCAACCTCTCTTTTCTTTATTTACTTTATTTTGTCTATGATAACTACACACATAAACTAAGACTCTTTATCATCTATAATGTATAATTTTTCTTATTCTAAACTATACTTGTCACTTATTTTTGTTTTTCTCACAATAACAAATATCTTTTTATTCTCCCCTTAACAGCCAACCAGTTTGTATGGAGTTCACCCGAGCAACTGGTCCATTCAGTGAAACATGTGGACTTTTCTTGGCACCGTTAGGTTTCCAGTCCCCAGACAATTTGTTGACACCGTTAGGTTACCCTTGTCTGGTTTTGTTTCACTGAGACACTGTTAATAACTACCTCATGTAACAAAACTTTGATGAAACAAATCACATAAAACAAACACACATATATCCAAAATGTCTACTTTCCTTTGTGATGACTTTTAGCCCAATAGAGGTCAGAATCAAAATATCAATTTTAACAAAGCTCTGTTTGTGTAAGCCCTCTTTTGTTGGCTACGTTCCTCACTCTATGCTGGCTGTATTTCTCACCCCCTCCCTTTGTACTCCCTGTTAAGTCAGTCTCCCAATGATTTGTCAGTCTTTTTACAGCTACATTTTATTTAACACTTTACTGTATTTACAACACTTTATACAACGCTTCATGCATTACTTTGAATAGATTATATTGTGTTTACTACAACTTACTTCTAAATATATGTACAACAACTTTATAGCTTACAGTTAGATTTTTACAATTTTTACACTTTTGATCGATCTGTTAACTGTTTTGACTTCTTTTTTGTCTTTTTCTCTTTTCCTTTATCTCTTTGGTTGCAATGTTTTAAGCGTTCTGCCCGTGTCAGACCTGTTCTGTCTACGGTGACTCCCCTCCTTCTTGGCCGGGAGGTCACTTTCCTCAAAACAGCGGTATCCACAGAAGCTTTTTACTTTAGACCTTTTTATCTCTATTTCCTCAGCTCTCCGTCTAAGCAGTCCTAACGGTTGACACACACACACCTGCCCCTACAGGCTTAAAGGTGCGCGTGGCAAGTCGCCAGCGGTATCCACGGATTCGCTTTTGAGTACCTCTGACTCTTTTATTTCTGCATTCCGCCCGAGCAGCCTATTGGTTGGCTCAACGCCCCTGCCTTCACAGATTTAAAGGGTACGTTGGTCAAGTCAATAGCGGTAACCACGGATATGCTTTTATATCTCTTACTCTTTTACCGGTTTTACTTCTTATTTTCTCAGTATGTTTTCTCAATACTTTAAATACTTTAACTATCTTACCTACTTTTGTTGCTTATTTTCCCCTTACATTTAACACACACATTCACTCTTTCCGCACCAAGATCACATATATTGCGCCAAACTTAGCCGTTTCCCAGTGATGTTAGTTGTGACTCAGTAATGTTCTTGATAATTCAACCAATCCAGTGACACTTTTAGCAATTCAATTAATTAATTCATCATAACTATGTTCTTTAGAGGAGGAACAATGCCAAATACCTTCGACCTGGGCGGCTCCAGCACTGCACCCCAGACACACCCGGTTTAGGCAGAAAAAGACTCTGCTTACCTTAGTTTGGTGGCCACCTGTGTGTCTGGCGTACAGCCCAGTGCTCCTGGTCTCCGGCCCCGACACGTCCTTCTCTCCTGGCTGGCAAATCGCCACTTGAAGTGTCAAAAATCGGTGCCTGGAAGTGGGCCTGTAGGCTCCCGACCTTGAACCTCTTGTCTCTTGTCAGTTGTTCTCAGATGTCGATTTGGTACCTTAGGCTCAGCTGGCAAATACTTAAAGAAACACTGGAAACAGGCAAAGTCCGATGCAATCAAGTTTAATGTGTCAACAGGCTTTAACACATACAACTTAGCGAGTCAGACTCCGGAGTGTGACTGAAAACCTGCTCTCAGAACCCTGGCTTATATGCTGGTGGAGATTCAAATGAGTCTCCACCTCTTTTTGCTAATCTTTCCCTCTTAAGACCAATTCTATTGGTGGAGAACCTTTTTTGTG